GACACAATGGTCTCTGAAAAATCATCTACAGCTAAATCCAACCAAGCGCAAGGAGATCTGCTCATGCCTCAAGCGCACTCCCCCTTGCTTCTCTCGGGTGTCATTAGAAGGGGTTGAGTTTGAAGTGGTATCTACAGCCAAAGTTCTTGGCGTTATCATAAGCAGTAATCTCAAATGGTCTGCACATACCAACTCACTCACGACTAAGGCTGCCAAGAGACTTTATCTCTTAGGACAACTTAAGTGTGTGGTTATTGCTAACAGTGATCTTGTTAGATTTCACTGTAGTGTTATTAGATTGCAATCTACCACTGTACCTCTCAGATGAAATTGAACACATTCAGTGTCATGTGTAACGCATAAACTTTCCAGGTTCTAATTATAATGAAGGTCTAGCTAAAGCTGGCCTACCAACCCTATATGATAGGAGGTGCACATTATGCAAAGATCTATTCAATAAAATTGCACATGGTAGCCACAAACTCAGCCATCTACTCCCAACACGTTCCCAGCGGATGTACAACCTTAGATCTGGTCACACCTTTACTGCACCTGTGTCCAAGACTAACAGATTTAGAGACAGTTTTGTTATTAGCCACTGTATATAATGTATGTTTTAAATATTCGTCTTATTGTATTATAAATATTCACGTAACTCACTCGTTTGACTGCAAAGTGTTTGTAATAATAAACAATGGTATTTACTCATGATATCAATCCACTTGTCAAATATTCTGCTTAAAGTTGAAACAGAGATCCCATATCGGTATATTGAGTCGAAATACACAGTTCAGCTTGAGCTTCAATAACGTGATTGTAAATTCAGGAGAACATTCATGGATGTATGCTTGATTTAAACTTGTAGTAAGCAAAAAAGACAAAGACTACAAGGGGAGTGCACTGGCAATTTGGAACAAACGTCAGAGTACGTATTGGTTGAAGAAATTTTTAAAAATGTACCCAGGGGCTAATATCCTCCTGCAGGTTTGAATGATGAGCAGCTTAACCATGCCATAAAATCTGCTGGTGTGACAGTATCTGCTGCTAAAGAAATGTGTCTCAGTACCATGCAGCAAAGCAAAGATCATCACTGGTATGCAGAGCGGTGAAAGAGAGTTACTGCATCTGTTTTTGGAAAAATAATTAATAGGAGAAAGTCACTTTATCCAAAATCACTGATCCAGTCAATTACAAAGCAACATAATCCTGCTGTGAAAGCACCAACACCATTACAGTGGGGTCTGGACAATGAAAGCAAAGCAATCAAGAAGTATGAAGAGATCCTGACAGGAGATGAAACTGTTAGATCTTGTGGGTTTGTTGTCAGTCCCAAGAGGCCATGGCTGGGCTGTAGTCCAGATGGTATTGTGATGAGAAATGGTGTCCCTGAGGGATGTGTAGAGATTAAGTGTTCTTATGCTAGTAAAGATTTGTGCATATCTGACGCTGTTAATTGTAAAAAAAACTTTTGTCTACAACAAACTGAAAATGGTTTGAAACTTAAAGAAAACCACCCATATTACTTTCAGTGCCAAGGTGTTTTGAACATTTTAAACTTAAATTGGATTGATTTCGTAGTATACACTAATGTTGATATGCACATCGAACGAATTGACAAGGACATATTTTTCTGGGAGGAAAAATTGCTCCCAGAAATAACTTCTTTTTATTTTTCCTTTATTCTTCCTTCATGTAATGAATAAAAGTTGGAGTACTTAACTATAAGCTTGGAATTCTATTAATGACAAGAAAACGTTATAGGTAAATATGAAGTAAATTCAAATAAATATGTTACTATTATTTTCCAGTCATTTTGGATAAATACAAGATGCATTAATCTTTTTCCACAAGAAGTGGGGGTAAAAAGTTTGTGAGGTAGCAGCATATTACCCAAATTTTATTCAAATCAGCTGCCATTGAAATGGGGAAAACGGTAATTAAAATTCTAAAGTTTTTAACTCTGGCTATTGCCCGTTCCACATGGATCCTGACTGAAGCAATCCTTCGAGTTCCTGTCTCCTCTTCAAGTGACAGGTGCTCTTTATTACAGAGAAAGGGTGGTATGTTGAGTGAGATTCCATTTGGCAGGTCACTCTCAACGTCAAATCCATTGTCAGCCATAACAGAGTCCCCATCTTCAAGCAATTTCAAAATACCACAATCATTGGTTATTTGCTTGTCACTTGACCTTCCAGCATATAAATCTGATACAAAAGTCACAGCAGCAGATGGGCTGATACCCACCAGACCTTTAGCAGTGTTGTGATGCTTG